AGTCCAGTCCACCACCACCCCTAAAAAGTAGGTACCGTGCCGGCTACTGGACCCCAAAGTCAGTCATGGTGGTTACATTGTGGGGGAGGACTTGGTGTGAACCCACCAATGATTGGCTCCTATTCCCTGAGACCCACCTGCAGCTGTGGGAACTGCTTCTCCTCCTGTAAGAGAGTGCTTCCAGAGCAGCCCTGTATGCTGTCCCCACCCTAGTCCCCGCCCTGGTTCCGCCCCTGCAGCCTGAATAAAAGTTCAACACATTCAAGAGCAGAGAGCCAGTCTAAGAGAGAACCTAGAGGCAGTTGCCACGGGTAGGCAGGTAAGGAGTGCAAGCTGTCTGAGCTTGGGGCTCAGGGTCTCTGTGCTTCGCTGCAGCCCTGCCCAAAGGCCCAATTCTAGAGTGCACTGGACCCCGTGGATGTGCATCTTCTACCAAACCCTCAGGTTCTTCTTCATTGGCCAGTGAACCATGGCGCCTCCCATGAAGGGTCAAGTGTGTGTGGTGACTGGGGCCTCCAGAGGTATTGGCCGCGGCATTGCCCTGCAGCTCTGTCAGGCAGGGGCTACTGTTTACATCACTGGCCGCCACCTGGACACCCTTCAAGCCACTGCTCAGGAGGTGAGTGAGGGACCCACTTCTCAGACCTTACCTGACCCCAAACCAGTCTCCACCAGGGTGGGATGCAGGAGTGCCATAAACACAAGGGCACTCCAAAACCTCAGGGAAAGTGGAATTAAAAGATGAGTTTATGAGTTTATGTAAACACACAACAAACTAACAAAAAGGCATAATGTGACACCTTCGTGTAATTTTATGGATAATGCACACTTTCCATCAATCTTTTTGAAAAAACTCCTATGCGTTAATTTTTCTAGCACGTTTTCCATGAGCTTTTCACTTTCCTACTCGATATCAATGGCTTGAACATTGGATGGCTTGATTTGGGCAAAGCACTGGAGTTCTGTAAATTAAAGAAAGGTACTTCAACAGGAGGTCAGATGGTAAACCAGGCTGACAAAGGGGGTTGTGACAAGGAGTGTGTGTGCAGAGTGGCATGGGTGAGGGGTGGCACATGCAGGTGACAGGAGCAGTAGTTGAACAAGGTGTTCTGGAAGAAGTGGTTCTTGCCCTGAGTCTTGAAGGCAGAAGTTAGGTGAGGAGAAGCAGTGAAGCACAGGCTGGGTAGCACAGGCTGGACAAGCAGAGGGAAGGAGGTGAAAGGTGTTCATGTTGCCACCTGAGGCAGGCAAGGGAAGTGTGGTGGGTGGGGGGCTGCTGGAGAGGAAACGAGGGTCTCAGGAGACCCTGCAGGAGAACTTTGGTTTACTCTCTGAGATGCTGGTTCAGTTGGAAGGTCACACTCAGGTTTGTGTTTCTGATGGTTCATGGAGACCGACCAGACAGGAAGAGTTTGTTTAAGGCAGAGAGCCCTGGGGGGCCAGGTGACCACTGGGAGACACTGCAGTGGCTCAGGTGAGGGAGTCAGAGGGAAGGAGCCAGCAAGTAGATCTGGGAGTAGGAGGATTGTTCTGGAATAAGGCCCTGTTGCTGTGCTGTGAGAGGTAGGTGCACAGAGAGCAAGGGTGCCTGGGCAGTGCAAGTGGTCCCGGCCTGAGAGCTTGGAGTGTCCCATGACTATGTGAACAAGCATAAGAGGGCTGGGCTTGAGGAAGGGCTCCAGGAGAGCAAAGCTAAGGAGAAGACCCAGGACCAGGACGCAGAGAGCAACTGGGTTCTCAGGAGCAGGTTCAGGGCCTCATTGCCTCTTATCCCTGACACACACTATGGACACTTGGTATCAGATTTGACCATTATTTTAGGAAGGAAATAATGGCTAAGAGCCACTTTCTATATTTTTTTACCTTTTATTGTCTTTTCAAAACAATTTGTTTGTTTTACTTAAAATCAGAAATACAAAGAATAGGAATGATAGAGTGATCTTGCAACAGCTGACTCACTCCCCCCAAATGACCAACATCCAGAGCTCATCTGGTTCAAAGCCAGGAACCAGGAGCTTCTCCCAGGTCTTCCACATGGCTACAGGCTCTCAAGGCTTTGGCCCATCCTCCACCAACTTCCCCACACTGTAAGCAGGGAGCTGGATGGGAAATGGAGCATCTGGGATATGAACTGGAGCCTATATGTGGTGCTGCAGGTGGAGAATTAGCCAGCTAAACCATCCTGCTGGCCACAAAGCTTTTTTTTTTTCTTTCCCCTGTACATATGAAAATGAATCTCTGCTACAGCCCTGGTGGGGCACATGTAATCCTGCTCTTTTATTATTATCAGTAGTGGTATTACCCAGTCTACCCTGCCAGCCTGTGAAGCTTCCTAAGCAGGTATCAGAGGGCAGTTGGAACACTGTGTGTCCTCATGGGCTGGCTGCCTTGGATCCCTGGGCTGCCCCCTGGGTTGGGAGCCCCTCAGGAGGACTCTGAACTCCTGTCTTTCCCCCTGCAGGCTCAAGCCCGAGGTGGCCGCTGTGTGCCTGTGGTGTGTGATTCCAGCCAGGAGAGTGAAGTGCGGAGCCTGTTTGAGCAAGTGAATCGGGAACAGCATGGGCGTCTGGATGTGCTGGTCAACAACGCCTATGCTGGGGTTCAGGTGCCTTTGAACTTTGATCCCAAACCCCACATTCCAGACCTCTCCTCTCACTCAGAATCCTGGTCACCAGGCTCATTATGCCCCTGCTTCCTGCCTGCCTTCCTCTTCATACCTTCCTGCCTTCAGATTCATGCAGTTGATTACCCTCCCTATGCCTTGCAGCCCATCTTGAATTGCAGGAATAAAGCATTCTGGGAATGTCCTGCCACCTACTGGGATGATGTCAACAATGTTGGACTCAGGTGGGTAATCCATGCACCCACTCTCCTTAAGCTATCCCAAGGCCCAAGGCTTTCCTTCGGGCTTCCCTCACCAATGTTTTTCTCTCCTTTCTATTCTATCCTGACATATCTCGTGTTGTCACAACTGCCATCCAGGTAAGGCTCTGCCTGAGAATGATGAGTTCTGAGAATGGCAAGTACTGCTGTGTTTCCCTCTGTACTTTCCTCCCATCTGACACTCTGCCAGTCCCAATGAGAGACCTGAAAGCCAGCCTATGCTTCCTCCCTTAACTGCCCACCCCCACACCCATTAGCAACACACACCACTGTTGTCTGTACTTTCACAGTAGTTGGAGGGTAAATTGCTTATAATCATAAGATAAAGAAGATCAGCAGAAGCCTTACTTGCTCACTCCACGCCCTCCCAGGACAGAGCATCACGGTCAGGTAGCCAATAGGGTCACAGGTACACCTGGCATGGGACTGAAAAAAATATAGCATGTAGAATCATTCCCAGGTATGCGTCAATGATATGTCTGTGGGTCACCATGGAACAGCAGCTCCCTTTAAGCTATAAACCCATACCTGATGGTTGTGATAGGTCACCTGGGATAGCCAACAGGACACTCTGCAGACCTGCAACTGTGGCATCCACGACACACAGGCGTATTTCCACTCCAGTGATAAGCCCAATGAGGGTAAGAATGCAGAAGTGGTGTCAGAAGTGGGCCAACAGTGAGGTCAGAGGGGCACAGTCAGCTCAGAGGCAACAAAGGAGAAGCCAGGACATGTAACCACAGCCCTGCAGAGAGGCTTCAGCCCCTTTTAAAAAACAATTATGTAGTTATTTGAAAGGCTGAGTAAGAGAGAGAGAGACCGGGACATACACACACACAGAAACAGAGGCAGGGAGAGTAAGAGAGCATGCTCTTCCATCTGCTGGCTCACTCCCCAGATGTCTGCAACACCCAACACTGGGCCAGGCCAAAGCTAGGAGCCTAGAACACTGTGTGGGTTTCCCTCATGGAGAGCAGAGACTCAGGCCCTCTGCTGAGTCCTCTGCTGCTGCCTTTGCAGGTGCATCAGCTGGGAGCTGGCTGGGAAGCAGGGTAGCTGGGCTTGAGCTGGCACTCCTATGGGATGCCAGTACTCTGGGCAGCAGCTTCCCTCACTGCATTACAGTCACCTGGAGTGGCTCCTTTAACGCCCTCATGATGGCGGGCCAGGGTTATGAGGCTGAGATGGGGGCTCCAGGCAGAGCCCCAGCCCCTGAGCCCTGATGAGTTCTCCATTGTCCTGACAAGGCATCGGTTCTTCCTCTCACCCTCCTTGCTCTGTTTGACCTGGGGCTGGGTGTGTTTGTGCAGTTATAGTTCAGTTCTGCACTCCAGTGTGGGTGGCAGGAACCCACCCTCCTGAGTCACTGCTACTGCCTCCCAGGGTGCACGTTGTCAGGTGACTGGAATCTGGGGAAGGAGCTGGGACTGCCTCTAGGCAGCCAGATGTGGGATGTGGGTGTCCTGCCCACTAGGCTAGAGCCCCTCGCTGTGCAGAGTAGTGTGAGAGAGGACGAGGCAGAGGGAGATCATCCCAATCACCCACATCGTGTTTTTATTCTTTTACATTTTTCCCGGCCTACTTTGTCAGTTTATTTTGCTTGTTGAGTTTAGTGTTGTCAGTTCCTCTAAAGTGTCTGACTGATTAAACATCTGTGATTAAAATAAAAAAATGTCTTACTGGGCAATAACCCAATGGGCTAAATTGATTGTGTTCATTTAAATAGAATTGATATGTTATACATGCCCATGTTGAAGCAATTGGTTTCCCTTTGGTCTTTCTTTGTCACCTTACTCATTTTAAAATGTTTCACACCTAAACCATGTTACGGTCTCTTTCTCTGTGTCCTCTATAGACTGCATTCTCACACAAGTAGATGGGTGCGTGTTTTATATTACCCATTTTCCCATCAGCATGTGACCTCAGATATTCTATCCCTCTGATCTGCAACCCCAGTACCCTCCCCTCACCCTGTCTCTATGCTTCCTCCCCAGACAAGTCCACCTAAGTGCAGTCAGTAGGGGGCGCTGCATGCTGCTGGGTGCTGTGGCCTCAGGCCTGCACTTACATTGTGCCTTCTCTGTCCACCTTCCAGAGGCCACTACTTGTGCTCCGTGTATGGGGCACGGATGATGGTCCCAGCTGGCCGGGGACTCATCGTGGTCATCTCCTCTATGGGTGGCCTGCAGTATCTGTTCAGCGTCCCCTATGGCGTGGGAAAAGCTGCGGTGAGCATGCAGTGGCATGGGGGTCAGGGAGGGATAGGGCAGTGGTAATACCTTGGAGTTCAGAAAGTACTGTCCCTGGTGCTCAGAATGGTGGGACTGGCTGGACCCCACTCTCTCCTGCTCAATCAAAACAGTTCCTTGGCTGGAGCTCGCTTCAGTTGACAGTGTAGGCAGCACCAGGGGGAGCAGGCAGCTGAGATGGCAGGGCTCCTGGAAAGGACAGGGGCTTGGGACATGCCCCTTGGGAGCAGGGAGGGTATGGGAGGAAAGTGACATGACCCCATGTCCTGACTCTCACCACCCCCATCTCTTCTCAGTGTGACAGGCTGGCTGCTGACTGTGCCCATGAGCTGCGACGCCACGGGGTCAGCTATGTGTCCCTGTGGCCAGGAATGGTGCAGACGGAGCTGGTGAAGGAGCAGATGGAAAAGGATTCAACCAATGACGCCTTGATTACACAGGTTGGCACTGCAAAGCAGGGGTATAGGAAGCACTATGGAAAGGAACAGGTCTGTCCTTCCTCAGAGACCAGACAAGAAGCCACAGGAGCCTATGGTGCTGCCTACAACAGCACAGGGCTGAGCCCTGGACCCACACCATTTCATTTCCTTCCTCCTGTAGGTGGCTCCTCTGAGACTCAGGTCACCCAGCTTGCTCAAGGTCCTAGAGGTCCCCAGTGGGAAGGCTGTGTAGCTCTAAGACTCAGGCACTTGCCCTCACAATGAACTCCCCTGGGATGCAGGGCACCCACTGGCACTACCAGATCCTTCCACTTGGAGGCAGTGGGGCCTGCTGCCAGGGTACAGCGCTCCCCTGTGTGGGCAGCTCCTGCAGAAGGGCTCTGACATCTCTTTGCCTTGATGGAGGAGAGAGGTGTGAGCAGGGCTCTCAGAGGCTCACCTCTCACCTCTCTGCCCTCTGTTGCAGCTCCAATCTCAGTTCTCATCCGCAGAATCCACAGAAGTGAGTGGCAAATGTGTGGTGGCTCTGGCAACAGGTGAGGAGCTTGGAGGCCCCTGGCAATTGGAAAGGACATGGGGAGTATGCCGGCCAGCACAACCTCTGCCGAGTTCTGGGATGGGGAGGTGGTTGGGCACTGTGCCCTTTTCCTCTGGTTCTCAGAGGAGGCCTTCACTGTTGTTCCTTTGGAGGCCCAACAAGTCAGGATTGTCAGTTGGATATAAAAGGTGCTGTCCTGAGGCTTGCTAAGAATAGAGGACAGTTAGCCTGGCCTCCTGAATCTATCTCAGTTGGCCCTCTCAGCTGGTCTCAAACCCTGACTCCCTCCACTGCTCTTTCATTGCCATCTCCTGCTGTGTGTGCCTACAGACCCCAACATCCTGAGCCTCAGTGGGAAGGTGCTGCCCTCCTGTGACCTGGCACGGCGCTATGGCTTTCGGGATGTGGATGGTGAGGACCCTGGCCCCACAACTGGCTTTGGCTGCTCCTCCTCCCCTCCCGCCTTCCATGTCAGCCTCTTCAGCTAACTTGTGGGGAAAGGGAGTGGAGAACAGGGGATCTAACCCTTCAATTCCTGTTGCTCCCCAGGCCGTCCTGTCTCTGATTTTATGTCCATGAGCTCCATATGCTCACGTGACTCCTTCCTGGGCTGGCTGGCCTCCTACCTGCCTGGCTTCCTGCGTACACCCAAGTGGCTCATCGCCATCTACACTAGCAAATTCTGACCCTCCTGGACTGAACTCACAGTTCTCCTCTCCTGCTGCCTGGAGGTAGTAGGGCCTATTTGTGTGGAATTAGGCAGGCTTTCCTGCCTTCCTGTGCCCTTGACACGTAGAGATCTATTCTCTGTCTGTGGTGAATCTCAAGGCATTTTGGGGTGTTTGTGCTTTATTAATCTTCATTTCACCATTTTATTTTGCCTCATTGAAAAATTTACCTTGGGTTAATAAAGATCTAATCTCCTTCACTGTGCCTTTTTTTCTTCCCTTATTTTTTTTTTTAATAAAAATGATACTTTATTTGAAAGTCAGAGAAATAGTGGTGGGGAGATGAAAGAGATCTTCCACTCACTGATGCATTCCCCAAATAACCAGAAACCCAGTTTTGGGCCAGGCTGGAACCAGGAGCTATAAGTTTTGTCTGGGTCTCCCATTTGGGTGCAGGAGCCCAGGGAGTTTGGCCATTATCCCCTGCTTTCCCAGATGTGTTATAGGGGACTGGATAAAAAAATGGAGCAATCTAGATTCAATCAGGCATTCATATGAGATACTCACATCAAAGGGAAAAGTTTAATCCACCTTGATGATTCCATTGCTTTTCTTTTTTACTTGGCAAGGCAGAAAGTGTCTCCCTTCTGCTGGTTCACACCCCAAAAATGCTAGCAGCAGCCAAGGTTGAGCACCAAAGTCAGGAACCTGGAACTCCATCTGCATCTCTCATGTGGGTGTGGGGACACATGTCTTCAAGCAGCTTCCTGCTGCCTCCCTGTGTGAACATGAAGAGGAAGCTGAAGCCAGAAGCCAGAAGCAATATGCCACCAATATGGCACGCAGCTGTCCCAAAAAGCATCTTGCCCACAGCGCTATCTGAAGACCCCCTGCTGTGTGGGTCTGAGCCCTGATTCTGTACCCAACAAAGTGTCATGTGTCTAGAGAGATTCTGAAAATAATCCTAGTTCCCGGTTCTCCAGGGCCTGTGTCCTTTGCATCAAGCCCTCCTTTCACCAAGTCTCTTCCTGCTCTTCATTTCAGAGCCACGTGCCATGCTCCCACTCGGAAGCTGGGCCACCTCCCCAGCCAGCACCCAGCACGACCACCCTCACACTGGCCTTCCAATGCTTCCTTCCACCCCCTCTTCAAGGAAGCTTGCAGCCTAGCTGAGTGTGATCTGTGGGGGAGGCCCAGTCCAATGAGGGTGGGTCCCTTGCTGTTTGTGATTTCCTGGATTCAGGAAGAAATTACTAGCTGAGGAGTATCAGGAGTACTAGGGAGTAGTATAGCAACAGCTGATGGCACATTCTACCTCAGCCCTTCTGTTGGGCTGAGTTGAATTCTGCAGAAAGACAACTCAGCATTGCATGAGCCCTTTCTGGAAGCCTTGGCTGCAGGGGCTTTGTCCCAGCCTGAGGCAGCAGGTGTGCTCCCAAGAGCAGCTGTCAAGGGCAGTTCCAAAGAAGACTCCTTACCAGCAGCACAGAGGAGCATTGGAGGTGAAGGCTCAGCTGCTGCCAATCAGAGGACCTGAGACCACTGCCCTTCTGCCAGAGCTGCAGGGTGAGAGCTTCTAGAAGCTGCCACTGCCATGGCCCCTTTGGGACGGCCCCAGGGGCCGCTGGAGCAGCTCACTGGCTGGTGAGAGCTGCTTGTGAACACTTTCTTCAAGTCTGTATTTGGTCACTTCAGGAGCTGCTGTAACTCAGCCACAGTGAGAGTCTGTGAGATCCATGGGTGCTGCCGCAAGTGAGTGAGTGTGTGTGTGTGTGTGTGTGTGTGTGTGTGTGTGTGTGTGCCTACTTTATAAAGACTCATTTATTTTTATTGGAAAGCCATATTTAGAGACAAAGAGAAGATCTCCATTGCTCATTCACTCTCCAGGTTGCAAAAACAGCCAGAGCTGAACTGACCCTGAGCTGGGATCTAAGACCCTATTTTGGATATCCCGTGTGAGTGCTAGCTCCCAAGAACTTGGGCAATTATTCACCACTTTCCAGACCATAACAGAGAGCTGAACTGAAATGGAGCAAGCAGGACATAATCAGCACCTATATCAGAAACCATCACTTGAAGGTGGAGGATTAACATGTGAGCCATGGGCCCGGCGCGGTGGCGCAAGTGGTTAAAGGTCCTCGCCTTGCACGCCCGGGATCCCATATGGGCGCTGGTTCTAATCCCGGCAGCCCCGCTTCCCTTCTGGCTCCCTGCCTGTGGCCTGGGAGAGCAGTCGAGGACGGCCCAGGGCTTTGGGAACCTGCACCCGCGTGGGAGACCCGGAGGAGGCTCCTGGCTTCGGATTGGCATAGTATCGGCCCGTTGCGCTCACTTGGGGCGTGAATCATCGGACGGAGGATCTTCCTCTCTGTCTCTTCTCTCTGTATATCCGCCTTTCCAATGAAAAAATAATAAAAATAAATCTTTAAAAAAAGAAATAACATGTGAGCCAATACACTGGACTTTACGTGTTATTGAGACAGAGAGAAATTGATGTACCTTAATGGGGTGTGACTGGCATAGGGAACTTTGGAAATATGTACTAACCTTCACCATGGGCCAAGGCATCAGCTATCAGTGATCAGACTTCCAAAACTTCCTCTCACACCTTGAGGCTGCTGAGGGGCTGGGGACAAGATCCCTGCGCATCCCCAGTCTCCCCGTCCTTCAACAGAAGCCAGCCTTGCAGGATAACATCCTGCAGATCAAGTCATTGGTGGAGGGTGTGGGCTTCACAGGCCCAAATGCAGTGGGCAAACGCTACCCTCCCTGCTTCACGTGTGAAAGGAAATCATACCACAGGGAAATCACTCAACAAACAGGCAGCCTTTGCAATCTTGGCTTCTGTGACCCAGCTGTGGGAAATGACCGGTTTATTTTGGCCATGACCCAGGTGCAAGTTCATTGGGGAGCAAGGTTGAGAGATTATAGCCCTGTCAGGAATGGAATGAGCAAAAGCAGAGGAACAGGAAGTTGTGTGTGCTTCCCTTGATAATAGGGAATCAGCATTGTGAGATGATGCTTTCTTAGGCCCTTGCACATGGAGGAAGGAACGAGGAATGCTAGGGAGGAGGCAGAGGCAGGAAGTGGTCTAAGCTGTGGGTCAACTCTGGGAGCAAGTCCCAACAGATATGGTCACATCAGCAGGTGCAGATGTTTTATGTTCCCACCTAATTCACAAGCAAAGCAGAGCAGACACACCTTGGCTCCCTCAGGTCTCTCTCAGGTGATGGCTGGGAGTCCAGGCGATGGCCAGCTGGGACCTGTTGTCATCAGTTCAGCACAGCAGAGTTGGCTATGTCCATGCACACTGATAGATCATCTGTGGTGACGAAGCAATCACTTGCAGTCTGAATCCAGCCTTCTGTCCAGTGAGGTGAGTACACTGTCTTCTAGCTCAGGAATCAGACACTCAGTAAAGCTGGCTAACTCGCCCAGCACTGGAAACACCACAGCAGAAAACACCTGTGTTTAACCAAGTGCATGAGTGTGCACATTGGAATTCCTGGCCCTGAGTCATGCTGACTGGCAGCTCTGTCCCTGGCTTGGCTTTCCAGGCTTTGGGGCACCTTTTATCTTATGCAGAGGGTGTGTGGGGCTGGGCAGAGCAGGGAAGGATCCAAAGGTTATGCAGCCTGTGCTTCAGTTCCACACCCTCAAGCCCCCTCCCTGCTTCCCAGCACTATTACACACACC